GCATTATGAAAGTAATATAATGTAATAAAATAATATCTAAATAATAATTATTGTGTTCGTCAAAAAGACAAAAACAATTAGTGATACTCAGTACTGACCATGAAGAAGTAAAACAAGACGTGTTATACGTTAATTTTATAATGAGCTTGTGGCGACACTGATGCTCGCCCTTTTGCTTGCCTCAAATCAGTATGTAGTGTATTATACGGTATAGCTCCTCTATATATTATTACTCTATGGTATAGTCATAGGATTATAAAGTGGCATATTGTATTTAAAATGAAACAACATAATCTAAGATAATTAATGTTTTATAAAAAACTAGCTGAATAACCCGGCGTTGCCAAGGAAGAATTGTGATTAATTCACTCCTTTTGGGTATAATTTGCTGTGCATAATATTATAGAAGCAAAATCATATTATATTATAATTTTAATTTTAAATTTTAGCCATCCCGCAGGGCGCATGGTGTTGCCGTGAGACTCACTTATGGTTATATGAATAGTAGGTATTTTATTAGGTACCTATAGGCAATAATTGCCTCAATTATTGACTGCGGTAGATTGTGGTCACAGCGAGGTGGGTGATAAAATAAAATCTATACTACTATAATATTAGTATATCTGTGTAGTTCAAAAAAATATTTATACAATGAACCTAAATTAGTATTGAAGTCATTGTTGATCATTCCGGATGTTTAGGAGTATTTAATATTTATATATTACTATATTTTGGGGGTTATTTTATTTTAATTTATAATAATTATTATTGAAGTATTAATGTAGTAAAGTAATGCGCCTACCTTTCTTTCGATGTCGATTCGGTAGATATTATAATGTTCAGTATTGAATATTCTCAGCTGTAGTCTGTACTCTGTAGTTGTAATCGGATGGATGTCTAAACGAGATGTGACTCTAAATTCTAACACTAAAACGTTTGTAACTGTAGTGAAAACACTCATCGCAAGCAGGCGCAGACCAGTTCTCGTCGTGCGACAAATGCCGGACCAAAGTCCAAACGCCGATCGGGTATGCGGGTCGAGCATAACACGATACCTACCTACTCCCCGAATTTAATGTTTACTTATTTATATTTATACAATCCATACAATATATTATATTATTATAACAGTTCATCGTCGTTATCGCGATGCCCCGCTACAACCTTCGTGCGTTGTATTGTACCTATCTAATTATAATTTATATAATATATAATATTATATATTAAACAAAATTAAAACCCACAAATCACGAGTGTGATATACGCCACCACAGTTAGGTATTGTATTGTAGGTAGTATAGGTACCTATACTACGCCAATACTTGGTAGTTGGTTGAATAATTATATAATATTAAATAAGCGATTATGTTGACCGTGATACCTGGCCATTATTCTATAATTCAATATTATATTATATTGAGTAGGTAATTCAATAAATTCAAAAAATCTATTTGTTGAAACATGTAAACTGAATAAGTAGGTATATTACGGTAATTTAATACTATTGCACAACAAAAAAGAGCAATAGAATTATTATAATATTATAATAATTTTATATTATAATTACAATAACATGTAAACTGGTCTACTTTGATCAATGACGAGTATCATTATGAAATCTAGATTATTTTAAAGTTGACTATACTATATTGTACTGCTAGTTTTATTTTATATTACTAACAAAAAAGAAAATACCTATGTAAAATATTAAATAGAAATTTTACAAAAAATATTACATTACAATATTAAATATGTAAAATATTTACTTATTGTTACATAATATATGTGGTTTTTTCGTGGCATTTTGAGCGCAACACAGTACACTATAACACTAAGAGAAACAACGAAGAGACATACGCAATTTAGAGGGCAGGGATATCAAAAATATTTTAGCAAAACATCGTGCAAACAAATAAATACTCTTGTCTAGCTCAAAATAACAAAATGCCACGAAATTCGATGCCACGATTCATTTTTGTATTAGTATAGGTAATATAAAATAAAACTTATAATACAATAGGTAGGTTATGGTCAACAACTTTAAAATAATATTTTAATCTTCACGCTAATACTCGTCATTAATCAAAGTAGAACATCATTTTACATGTTTATAATAATTCTATTGCTCTTTTGTTTGTCCAAGTATTAAATTACCGTGATTTACTTATTCAGTTTAATAATTTACATGTTTCAACAAATAAATTACCTTGCCGGAAAAATAATGTACAGCAGTACACATATTATATGTGTTAGGTATTATAATATAAACTACCAGCTAGGTATACCCTTAAAATAAAATAAGTAAAATGGTTATTACTTATTAGTTATTACCATAAAATGATTGCAGTTCTTAAATAAGGCCTAACTGCTGTTGGCCTGTATAATATGCAATAAGTTTGAAAAACAGCAGGCCGTTTGGAAAAATAATATGTAGGTAGTTCGCATAGGTACAAGCGAAAATGACCCTAGTCTTTTCACAAAAATTCTAATTTTTCAAGTAGTCTACGAAATTATAAATGTATAGTAATTTATATTATGTATTTATAAATACATTTAATCAAATACTTTAAAATACTGAAACTATACTCAACCGAAATTTGGTTTTTATACATCGATCAAATACTCCGAAAAATATTCTATTTTGTAATCAAGAATTAAATTGTTGTCAAAAGATAAAAAGTAATACCTATATAGGTAACTTAATAAATATATAGTATATTCAAAATTAATAGTTAATATATTATAACTATTCATTTTTAATATAGGCTTACCTACTTATAATATTTAAAATATAACTTTTTTTAGAAAAATGGTATTTATAACAATAACTTTAAATTATATAAATATTTAATACACATAATATAAGGTGAGAAATTTTGATGAATTTTTTTAAAATTTAGGATGGAAAATATTGATATATAAAATTTGGTATGTAATAATTTGAAAATGTTTTGACTATATTTGGGTTTAGATATTTTGTGATCAAATATTTTCAAAATATAGGATGAAAAATTGATGTATAATATTTGGTATGTAATAATTTGAAAATGTTTTGACTATATTTGGGTTTAGATATTTTGTGATCAAATATTTTCAAAACATAGGATGGAAAATTGATATATAATATTTGGTATGTAATAGTTTGAAAATGTTTTGACTATATTTTGGTTTAGATATTTTGAGATCAAACATTTTCAAAACAACTGTATAATATTCTACAAAATATATTTGCTGTGTAACCTAATTCAAATATTGTGAAAATATTAATGTTTTCAAATTGCTGTGTGGGTATGTACTAAAAGTGTAAAATCTTATTTAAATTCAAGTATAACAAAGTTCATATAACATATTATTATAATATCCTCATGCTATATAAAAGTGGGCAAGCTAATAACAAAAACATAACTTTAATTGGTTAAATATTAGGTCAACTTTTAGATTGTAACCATACCTAATAGTTAACATTAGATATATTTAACATTTTAACTAGGCACTATAAAAGTTTAAAGCTAATATGAAAAAAAATAACTTAACTCAGTTAAACAGAAGTTAATTAGTTTTTAATTAACACATATTATGTCACATATATAGTGATAGTGAAACTTTAAAATTTTTTAAAAATATAATGACTAAATATTTTGTTTTCTCAGATAAAAAAAAATCTAATATTCCGTCTTCTGACACACTAGCAGTAGTGATTTAATTAATTAGTTTTAACAGTTGCAGTTTTATATACCTACCTATAAGTAAAGGGTTAATCTTTTGTCAAAGATAGAAATATAAACAATTAAAATGTTTATGTATATGTGATAGGCCATCAATTATAAAATATAGATAATAAAATAAAATAAATTAACTTTTTAACTTGTTAATGCTGTTGTGAATGCTAAGAACCCCTGGTTACTTTATATGTAGAATATATGTTATTAGTATTAGTGATATTGTACACCACCTCCGGCCAAAACGGAATGTGCTGAGCAAACCCTTTTCGGCCCGGACGGAGCAACGACTCGCTGTGTATAACACAAGCGAGCCAGTCTTGGTTTAAGAGCAGAGCCTTATGATTGTCAGAACCTCACATAACATTCGGAACATTTTATATTAATTATATTAATTTAGAAGCATCTGCCGTTATTAATGACACCCAATAAAGTTAATTTAGTTCTTTTCAATTTGTGTTGTGACTATATTTATTTGTGACTGAACACCTAAGTGCGTTCATAACATTTTTGGTGGCAGCGGTGGGATACGTCTTCCAGTATCTCGCTACTACGTCATTTCATAAATCGGAAGAAAGAAAATCAAAACTTCAGTGTCAAAGAGCAAGTGCATTTATAAACCGGACGCAAATCATACGGAGCATTTACAGAAACTCGCCGATCTATTTTTTTTTTTAGGAGGTATAGTAATATTTTATTATTGTTATTATAATATTATACTCGTTTGTAGTACGACGTATACGACGACAATCGGGTCGACATCGACAAAATTCATAGAAGGGGCATATATATAGCAGTGCCACAACAGTCGTCGGTGTCACCGATAGAATCCAGAGAATTATCGCTGACGTCGCTACGCAGGCCGCCGCCGGAATTGTTACCAGTACCACCACCAGCGTTGCCACTGGGACTGCCGCCGAGAGCCGCCGCTGACGTCACGAGCCGCCCGAGCTGTGCCGCCCGAGCCACGAGCCGCAGCGAAGGTCACACGGGTACGAGTTACATTACGCCTGGACAGCAACTGTCACGGGGACAACTACAGCCACGGAGATTCATTTGACCGCCGCGCGCCGTGAGTAATAATTTTCGTACGCGATTGTATTTTTTTTTTTTGTTAGCAACAAAAAGTTAGTGCTCTGCTGAATTGTAACTGCCCAACCTCCGCTTTATTTATCAACGAATATTTTTTTTTTATTCTTCTCAATAAGAATAAGAATAATATTACTGTATAATTAAATTACATTGTGACATAATAACTATTACCTAAGGGGCATTAAGTTAATGAGTCGAAGGGGGAGCGAAGGGTCATCTAAAGATTTAGACCAGACAATTCCCACAGATAATAATTTTTCCCCAGACACACAAACCCTTTTATCTTTTACACCTGTACCAACCACCCGGGCTAGCCTACCGATTAGGGGAGCTAACCCAGGAGACCCTTTTTCAGGTAGAGAGGTAGCAGAAATTTCAGTTGACCATTTATTAATCCGAGAATCAGATTTAAACTTAAATACAGAAGATTTATTGTTAAACGTAACGAAAGAACTGGAAAAAGTAGATAAAAGTATAATTGAATTTAATAACAAGACCCTCACAAACATGGATGGAAACTCAGAACCTTCAGGCAGCACCAACCAGTCCAGCAGCACACAACAACCAAAGACTAAGGAACCAGTTCAGCAAGTCGACTGGTCAGCAGACAATAATTCGCATCACATTTTCCCTGGAACCGAAGGGATGAATAAGCAAAGTATGGGACAAATATTAAATGATGGAACGAATAACGGTTCAATGGAATCAAAAAAGGAAAATTTAGTTCACACAGAACATTTTAAGGAATTCGATTTGGATGCGTTGATTAACCAACGAATGAAAGAATTGTGCAAAAACTACTCGTTGAAGGCGGAAAACACGGATCAAGGAAAAACAAGTGTGGAATCAATACGTGAAATAATCGATGCTAAGATAATAGCAGCCTTAGGGAAGAAGGGATACACCGGAACGCCACAGCCAGAACCGTCAATGTCTAATTACATTGGATTAAAGGAAGCTCTTAATTTATTGCCAAAATCATGCGATGGAAGGGACATCGAACAATTAGATATTTTCCTAGAAAATTGCGAATTTGCAGTATCATGCGTGCAAGAGCCTTCCAAGAATCGTCTACTACAGGCGATAATGACAAGACTAACTGGTAAAGCTCGTCAAGTATCTAGGAACCGAACATTTTATACGTGGGAAGCATTACGAGAATTTCTGAAGGCTAACCTAGAACCTCAACGTACTACACAGCATTTATACCTTGAATTATATTCGTCCAAACAGAAGAAGGATGAGGATATATTATCCTATTCGATGAGAATAGAGGAACTTCAAACGCTCCTAATTGAGCAGGAGACAGCGGAACTAACAGCTGAGGCTGCACGGGCCATGGAAGCGTCCATCAAACGTCAAACAAAGCAAGTCTTTATGGAAGGCTTGGGAATTTTGAAGGATTTTATTAAAGCAAGAAATCCGCATACACTAGAAATGGCTATCCAAGCTGCCAGGGAGGAAGAAAAAATTAAAACCTCTTCAGTGGAAACCAAAAAACCATATCAACCAACGAAACGGGGAGCAGAATCTTATACTTCAGCCAAAAAACCGAACGGGCCGTGTCATGTATGCAAAAAACAAGGACATTGGGCACGAGATTGCAGATACGCAGGGAATTCAAGTTACCAACCGGAAACTACAGTATCAAAAAATAAACAGAATTCTATTAACGTAGTTAATTGCCAATACTGTAAAAAGCCAGGGCATACCAAAGAAGAATGTCGGAAATTAAAATATGTAACTGGCAAACGTAATGAAGAAAATAAGTCGGGAAACCAACCACAGCCGGGCTCCAGCGGCAGCCGCCCGGCTGGGAGTCTAAAAACAGCCGCGATTACGTTTTCCCAATCGTCCTGAACGTGCTACAATCTAACTACCAAAACCTTAAATACGATCATTTGTCCTGTCAATGTTCAGAGACAATGAACCAGAACATTCAGTTATTAGTGGACTCCGGATCCGATTTAAACTTCATCAAATTATCCTCTTTAAAAAACGATGTTATGGTTCATGAACCTACAGAACACATTTTAACGGGAATAACAGGACATGTACTACAATCACTAGGGACAGTGGAGTTAACACTAATGATTAGACAAGAAAAACGAAAGGCATTATTCCAGGTGGTCCATTCTTCATTCCCAGTTCCTCATGAGGGTATCCTGGGAAAACCTTTTATCATCGGAATGAAAACAGTAATAGACTACCAACGTAAAGAATTGATGCTAACAGACACTACAGCAAATGCTGGAACTACAGAAAGTTTAAATAATTCAGAACAGACAGAATCTCCAAAAACCGCAAAAGACGATGGATCATTAGAGCTACAAGACATAACAGATAATCCGATAAATGGAAACATCGTATTACGACCACGGACTGAAACTCTAGTGAGTATTCCTATAACCGATCGGAAAGATGGAGAAATTGTTTTAGTTCCTGCGCAGACAATTGCTAAGACAATAATGTGTAGCAATACTATAAATAAAGTGAACAACCGAAAAGTCTTTATTTCTATGATTAACCCGACTGAACATGTTGTGACAGTGCCAGATCAGGAGTTGATTTCGATCAAGTCTGAAGAGTTTATGGAAAGTAAAATTAACGCTATTTGGTCTAAACAAGAAACTTCAACAAATGGAAGTAGACTCAATAAATTGAACGAAGAAATTCACACGGAACATTTAAATAAGGAAGAGTATGATTCCTTAATGACAATATGTAAACAATTTTCTGATATTTTTCACCTAGAAGGGGACAAACTATCTTGTACCAACGCTGTTTATCACGAAATTAACGTAAACCCTGCGACGCAACCAATTAATGAAAGGCCTTACCGCCTTCCTTATAAACATAAGCAAGAAATCGATAAACAGATACAGAAACTTCAAGAAGATGATATAATCGCACCAAGTCGTAGTCCTTGGAACGCACCCTTATTGGTGGTTCCAAAGAAACCCACTGCAGACGGCACCGCGCAATACCGCGTGTGCGTGGACTTTCGAAAATTGAACCAAGTTTCAGTAGGGGATGCCTTTCCCTTACCAAACATAACCGAGATCCTAGATCAATTAGGGAAGTCCAAATATTATTCAACCCTAGATTTATCCCAAGGGTATCACCAGGTCCCAATGCACCCTGACCATCGAAGTAAAACCGCTTTTTCAACAGATAAGGGCCATTTTGAATTCTTGCGGGTACCATTTGGTTTAAAGGGGGCACCAGCCACCTTTCAACGGTTAATGAACACTGTACTAACAGGACTCAATGGACTGAAAGCATTCGTTTATTTAGACGATATAATAATATACGCACTGAACATTACAGACCATTCTAAAAAATTAGAAGAAGTTTTCAAGAGACTAAGGGAATTTAATTTGAAATTGAACCCTACGAAGTGCTCATTTATGCGAAAAGAGGTTAATTACCTAGGACACGTAATAACGGATAAGGGCGTCAGGCCCGATCCGCAGAAAATTAAATGTGTTTTAGATTTTCCGATACCAACCAATACTAAGGAACTCAAGTCCTTTCTTGGGTTATCCGGATACTATCGACGTTTTATACCTAATTATGGACAAACTTCGAAGCCTCTTACAGTTTTACTTAAGAAAGATGTGCAATTTAGCTGGTCTGATTTGTGCCAAGAAGCTTTCGAAAAGTTAAAATCTACGCTGACTCAGGAGCCCTTACTACAGTACCCTGATTTCACTAAAGCTTTCAATTTAACGTGCGATGCCAGCAATTACGCTATAGGTTGTGTCCTGTCACAAGGTCCAATCGGGCAAGATGCTCCCATAGCTTATGCATCACGGAATCTAAATAAGGCTGAACAAAATTATAACACTACAGAAAAAGAGCTATGTGCAATAGTTTGGGGTGTAAAGCAATTCAGACCATACTTATTAGGACAGAAATTTACGATAATCACAGACCATCGAGCATTGACATGGCTATTTAACATAAAAGACCCAGGATCCAGACTAACAAGGTGGAGATTAAAACTTGAGGAATACGAATATGAAATCCAATACAAGCAAGGCACCAGTAATACAAATGCAGACGCTTTAAGTAGAATTCATCCTGTAGTAACTAGATCTAAAAGCGCTTCGAAAAAATCAGAAACTCCTGGCATCACAGAAAATTTGGATACAACAAATATCACAGAAAATCCAGATAATCAAAATTTGCAAAATCCCAGTACTACAGCTTCAACAGCTTCGGGTATTTTGGAACCATATCAACAATTTTTAGCAGCAGAACATTCACCAACGGCTAATGTTACAGAAGTAAATGGTGATATTTTTGATACTCCATCAGATATTTCTTTAGTTCATTGTGTCTCAGGTGACTTAAACATGTCGAGAGGCCTTGCATTACAATTTCGACGAAAATTTGGACAAGTTACACAATTACGAGAACAACGAAAAAAACTCACAGAAATTGCTTACATTAGAGAAGATGAACGAATGGTTTTCTATTTAATCACAAAAGAATATTATCGGCAGAAGCCGTCATACGAAACATTTTACAAAAGCCTTCAAAATCTTAAAAAAGCGTGCATGGAACATAAGATCACTACGCTGGCTTGCCCTCGTCTAGGCTGTGGTTTAGACGGACTCAAGTGGGAGGTAGTACGAAATATGTTGCGTTATATCTTTCGGGACTCTCCAATATATATTCGAGTATATAGTAAGGATGAGCTTACTGAAGAGAATAAAGAACAGATAATTAGGGAAATGCATGAAAATCCTTTAGGAGGCCATCAGGGAATCACTAGAACCTTTAACAGAATCAACTCTCAAAACTATTGGAAGGGTATGAGGAGACAAATTAAGGAATATATACAGAAATGTCCAACATGTCAGAAAAATAAAACGAGCAACAGAACATTGAAGGAACCAATGGTAATCACCACCACAGCAAACAGAGCATTCGAGAAAATTTTCCTAGATATAGTAGGACCTTTGCCAAAATCAAACAATGGAAATAATTTCATTCTTACTTTACAAGACGACCTCACCAAATTTGCATGGGCCGTTCCCATGGAGAACCATGAGGCGAACACTGTAGCCCACCATTTCGTTACGCAATTTGTATGTCTTCATGGGATACCTCAAAGTCTCATGACGGATTGCGGAACAGAATTCCTAAGCAAAATATTTAAAGAAGTGTGTCGACTGTTGAAAATACGCCAAACCTCAACAACACCGTACCACCCCGAAAGCAATGGAAGTCTTGAAAGAAGCCACAGAACTTTGGGTGAATACTTGAGAAACTTCGTAGAGAAGGACCAGCTGAAGTGGGACGCTAAAGTACCCTACGCAATGTTTTGCCATAATTCGACAATTCACTCGGCGACAAAGTTCCAACCATATCAACTGGTCTATGGACACCCGTTGGTAGTGCCAACGTCATTGTTGAATAGCCCAGAACCTAGATATAATTACGACGATTATAACTACGAAATAAAGAAACAAATGCAGGAGTCACAGGAAATCGCTAGAAAACACCTTTTAGAAGCAAAACATAAGTCCAAGGAGAGGTATGACAAGACCTTGAGAAGTCAGAACATAGTAGTCGGAAACAAAATTTTATTACAAGATAAAACTTCAAAGGGTAAATTAGCTCCCAAATGGCTAGGACCATTTGAAGTCCTAGACGTTGATCCGGAACGGAAAAACGTTGTAATTAACAAGAAAGGTCGGAGGCACACAATTCACCAGAATCTTTTGAAAATATTTCATGAGTAACAATTAATTACCTTTCATACTTTTCAGAAACTTACGATGGTCAGTGCACAAGTGATAGTAATGATGACCATTCTGCAGGTCATGGTAGGAGAACCACAGAAATTTCCATTGGAAGAGGCAGTTAATATTACTAATTTCAACAGTCATGAAGGTCTATATTACCAATATGTAGGGACTATGAAGGCATCAAATTCAGAGTGGAAATTGATTAACTACCTTGACCTAGATAATTATTCGACAAAGTATTTAACGTTGTCAAAACTTTATCACAGTACATCTCAACTTTGTGGGGAAATACGACAAAAACTTGAAAGCAACGATAGTATATATATTTGTCAATTGTTTTCACAAGCTACTCTACCGTATTTATACGAGATTGAGATAAATCATCAAAATATTTTATCCACAATAGGACAGAGCGTGAATACTAACGATAGATTCCGTCGTGGACTCAGGAATGCTATAAGTCGTCTGGCCAGTGTACTTTATGGAAATATTGAGAACATCGACATGGAATTTATATTTAGTAAAATAAAACAATTAACACAAACCAATAAAAACAATTTGAACTTGGTACCAGAACAAATACGGATGATTCAAACGAAGCTTACGGAAAACAACAGTACATTGTCAAGAGTATTAACAAACCAGCAAAAGTTAGAAGAGAACAATCAAGTTTTGAGCGAACAAGTCAAAAGAAACACACAAAAGATTGACAAAATCGTGGTAAGAACTACGCTATTAGAACAAACAGTGCTATTCGAAGTTATGTTAAACCAATACGCATATGAAACACAGAACCTAATCGAAATTGTAAACACAGCTTTAAATGGGAAGCTACATACTACCATCTTATCAGCTCGGAAATGGTTAACAGAGCTACGAGAAATAAAAATAAACCTACCATTAGGAACCGCCCTACCATTAGAAATAACACAAGAAACTATTTCAGAATTTCTTAAATTATCTGAAGTGGCAATTTTCCACAGAGACAAATATTTGGTATTTGTCACAAAAATCCCTTTAGTACATAGTAATGACTTTACCGTTTACAATATAATACCTTTACCAATAGAATACGATAGTAAAAGTCTAGTCTTAATC